TGGCTGCACAGTGTATTTAGTGCTTGTAATTGAATGTTAGCAAACAAGCATGCTTGATAAAGATGATGAACTTTCTGAAAAGACTTCTCCACAGTTGCAAAATGGCAGACCTATGCCAGAATTGACTACGGATTTTTTTTTGTTCAAAATGAGTATCAGATGTTTTGTTAATGTCAGAAATATAACAGACCTGGACCGGTTGATGGCAGAATGGAGAAACATTCAATTCTAGTGTTGATGTGACTAACGCATCACTTCAAAACTGTACAGGTCCTGGGCTGGTTCCCTCTAATTATCAGAAAAGTTTGTCATTCTGTGCCCTAATAGCGTCATGATATTTGCATTTAGCATAAAGTGTGTGCCTCAGTACAGCATCACAGAGGCGCCAGAGCGGCTGTAAATGGAAAGCACTTAATTGGCCACTGAGTGAATCCATCATTTATTGTCTGGTTAGAAGCACATTAATGTTTGGTTTCTGTAAGGATTTCTGATTTCCTGACTGTTCCACTTGATTTATTAAATTGGTTAAAGGAATTTATACGCTACCAAACACTAGAGCAACACATTAAAGGTCTGCGTACACACATCGGAGAACAACACAGAGAACAAGACTGCAACTTTACTGACTTTGTGGCTTATTTTGAGTCTTTTTAGTCACATACAGATATAACACTCTGGGATTTCTCGATAATGGAAGGCTGTCCACGTTTGGTGCATGAACTGTACCGTGCCGAAGAACTCCTCTTCCTAGCGTGCCAGGGCCAAGGAAGAGCACTGAAACGGGCTGGACTTTGAGGGTTAAGCATGCTTGGCCACGGTTGCCTAGTGTGAGTGTGTCCTTAAGCTCGAGGGTAAATCTCTTCAAGTACATATGTCCAACAGTTTGCTGTTGATGCACACATGCTGGAGTGAACTTGTAACCTTTTAAAGTACGAGTAATGTTGGTGCATAAAGCTAACTGGGTTGAAGCATGACACCATTTATTTAATGGGTTTATTGTTAGAGGTCACCTCACTATATGAGAAAGGTCACCTGATGAAGATGACCACATTTAACAGAAGTATGCAGACAAAGAAAACTGAGACTAGAGACAAGATGAGATAAGATAATGGGCATGAAGTTCTGCACCATCTGGTTTTGTCCTCTGAAGTCTGACAATGTGAATCCAAATGACTTTGATGTTAAACGAGGATCATCTGCCCCAACATGACACGGACCCTCGTCCAGCTTCATAGTCAGTTAATATTCCACTCATGTAAAGGTTCTAAATCAGACTTTAACCATATGGTTACTACTTAATACTGTCCACTGTGTCTTATTTAATACTGTGTCTTATTTAATACTGTGAGAGATTTCCTATCAATCGTCTTCCACCACTGAACCACTCTTCCATTACATGTATATGACATTATTTAATTATGTTTATTATTGACTATTTATCTGTTTATACATCAAACGAATACCTGTTATGTGAAAACCTACTTGGCAATAGATCAGATTTGGCAAACATCATTTTGACTTTAGGATATACACTACAACAATGTGAAAGTATGAAGTTGTGTCTTGCCTGCAGATATGTGAGCGCTTTCTTGAGAATGAGACTGTCCGGTCAACAGACCACATCCTTTCCCATTAAAATGACCACAATGAAATTTAGATTACATTAATTAAAATGCATTGCTTTAAATCTGTGACATCTTAGAATGTAAATAATCTCTTTAGCTTTACAAGTAACCCAACTCTTCAATCAGCGCTCGGGCAGTTTGTGCCAAGAGCGTGTTGACTCCCCCACCAAGCTGATTTATGAGTCTGAGGAGTCTCCACATGATGGAGCACCAGACAATGACTCTGCAGTTTTGGATGGCCACACAAGCACCAAAACATCTCAATAATATAAACCGGTCCTTTTCTCAGGAAAGATGTTCTGTGTTATATGTTCACAGTTATGTTTTGTATTTGTTGTCACGGTTTAGAGGACAATAAAAGCGGACAAGATCCGCACAACAAGAACTTGGTGGAGCTTGGTGTGCAGATCTTGTTTGTTTGTCTATGGGTAGAATCAATTATATCACAACCAGTCTGCTTGATTGCTGCAACACCTGTTGGTTTGACGTTTGTGTGGCAAACCAAGGGGCGTCCAAATTGGCCTTATGTGGGGGTGCCTTAAAACCGCCTACCTTCTCTGGTCAAAACAAAAACCCCACTGGAATTAAAACGAAGGAGGACATACTGGCTGCTGCATTGTTGTTTCTGCTGCATTGTTGTCAAAGAAGCCAGCAATTCAACACAGCATGTATCCTAATGTCTTATATGTTATACAGTCTCTTTTATTGATCAATAAAATCAAAATGTTTTTTTAAGCTTTAAATAAAATACTACCACTTTTCATTAGAAAGGTGTTTAAGAGCTGAATAAAATATTTTGAGGCAAACTCCTGCACTCCTGGCTAAATTGCACAAATACAGTGACAATGTTTTGGTACTGAATCATTGGCAATGTATTGTGTAATTTGTGCGGAGAAGTTTGCCTGAATATTTTTGCTAAATGAAAGCAATAATGACTCAATATTGGGTGCCTGTAGGTTTCTTTTTGTTGTTGCTATGGCATCAATATCACCACACAATCATTGATTTCCACCCACAGGTAGGGTGTCAAAAAGAACTTTAGTTAGAAACTTGCAGGGTTGAGGTGTCCAGGGCTGGGGGTGAGGCAGTGAGCTGGAGCTGGAGCTGGCTGGCAGTCTTTGTTGGCAGAAGAAAGTCCTGGAGACCAAAAACAGGTGTAAGAAGCAGTGGCAGGCAGGCAACCAAACAAAGTTTAAAGGTAGTTAAAAGGGCTAAACTGGAGCTGGAAGTAACAAACCATGAATGGCACAACGACCCTGCAGAGACTGATGAGTGTTGGTGCAGGGTTCTTGTGGGTGATGTTGATTGCGGGCAGGTGTGTTGCCAATGCCAATGCAGGTTAGCAGAGTGAAGAGGACAGAGTGGGGGAGGGAAAGACAAAACTCAGAACTCACACAAAAAATACTTCACACCTCACGCAAACTGAAAGTCATGGAGCAAGTACTGTGACACATGAATACTATAGAAGTTTAAAAATATGGTATTTTTGACAACTTTAAATAACTATACCTTTGTTTTACACATTTAAACCCTTTTTTGGTTTACATTAGATAATAATAGCTAAATTATATAAGGTAATTAAGCATCTTTTTGGCATTTGAATCGTTTTAAGGGCACACAGAAGGTTTGAACAAATGTTTTTATTTATTTAATTTTCAGAGTTAAGAAATAGTTAAGCATCATAATCATTTATTTGGCCAAGTTTAAGTTTACTTTGAGGGTAATGACAAACACAAACAAAAACTAGTCAGAGGCCATTGCCACTATATTCCACCCACTATGACGCCTATCAGAGGGGATACAGTCATTCTCAGGGTTTGTCTTTTGATGGCATTTGTCAAAAATATAATGGTGTCTCTTTAAGTTTTTATTGCTCCATTTTTCACCACTTTTATCTGTGTTCTTTATTACTATCAGGACACTTCCTGGCTTCAAATGCTGTATTTCACTCCAAGAGATGGTCAAATTAACTGATGCTGGACACGGAAACTCTACAGTTGAGGAGAAAAAAACAGCTTGACTGGCAGGCTATTATGTAAGCAGTAGTTTTCCACAGATGTTATTTAAGTTTGACCCCCCCCCCCAAACTGCAGTTTGTAACTGTAAGCTGCAGTTCACTGAATGTAACTGCAGGAAACGGGACACCTCTCAAAGATGACTCTGACGCTTTAAGTGCCAAAACAACATTGTCTGTGTGTTTCGTCTACTATTTTTCTGTTTGATGTATTGATTTAACAACGTGACCGGTTCTTTTAGAGGCTCACAAGTGGCCTGACACACATGAAATCACAACATGTTTTCAGGGATAATCCTGAGTCTTGAATAAGTAACTTTGTGTTTGAACAGAGCACCATACAAGAGAGGGGTGAATGATTGTGTTACTACAGTACACCTGAAGTGACCTCATTCGTTGATTAGAACTTTGCATTAAACATGTAAACCTTCATCAAAATGTAATTTCATTACATATGTTAATGGAGTTCACTGCCCCATGTCAAAGCAAAAAAAAAATTAAGAACAAAAATGCATGTTTGACAAGTATCTGTATATTTATATTATAAAGCTTTCATAACTACTTCATTGGTTAAGGATTCTGCCAAAATGCCATATTTACACAACAAAACTGCACCCAATCTATAGAGCTTTATTACAACTTTCGCTTCATTGTTTTTGTCTTTACAGCCACCAGACTCACTGTGTTGACAACAACAGGAAGGGACCAGTGCTTTCCTCTATACTTGAAAGTAGCAGTACCACATTAAAAAATGTCGCCTGTGGATTTTACTTTAATTTGTTTTTATGTAGGCAATAATTAACTTTTTATTTGATAGAGATGGAACTGATTATCTTCAAATCTGCAGCATTGTATCCTTGGCATAGATTGTAATTCACTGAAGTGAGTACATATAAATCTAAGATTGAAATGGTTTGAAATGAAAATATTCAAAATAATTATTTAGCTTTTTTTTTTTAGATTTTCACCTTGATAATTAATTTCTATAAAGCAAATGTTCTATTAAAGCAAACATCCACTTGTTGAATATCAAACTAGTTTCCATCCTTGTTGTCATGTTGACGACCCGTTGTGAACTCTTTCATTTCTCTGACGCCAGCTCGCGTGACGCACTCCTGCAGATGCCACCGAGGTGTCCCGCCGCGTGCGTGGAAAGCGTCCCACTGTACCCCCTCCTCCTTTGCGTGATTGAATCCGTTAAGGGTTCGAGGTGGAATGGTTCTGGTTAGTGATGTAAGAGGGGTGTAATGGCACAACCCTCAGCCTCCACCAATGGAGATCTGGGCAGGGCTCAACACCCATTTCCCGGGATATTGCTATAAAACCGGTGTATAACATCAGTTTCCTCTTAATAATCTGTGCAAGAATAATTAACCAGCGCTGCAACTTTCTGAGGCAACTTCCATTGAATAAACGAAGAGGTAAGTGCAAATATTTTGATTTATGTTTACGTCTTATCATTTGAATTTTTGCTCTGATGATAGCAAACAATGCATGTTAAATAAATACACATTTTGTCATCTATTGTGTTCCTGTTCAGGGATACATCACTGTTCATTGGCCTTTAAAACTTGATCTGTTTTTGCACAAAGAAACATTTCATATTCGTTTTAAGTCTTGGAGATATTTTAAAAGCACCGTTTGGAGTAACTCCATTGATTGTCCTTTCTGTTGGGGAAAATAATAATGATAATAAATAGCTTTTGACTGATTGAAATGTTAAATAAAGTTTTGAGAATTCAGAGTTAAGAATGAAAGTCTGTCAACTTTAAAGAGAGTAATGGTCGTTTGCATTTTTTGTTAATTGGACGAGATTAAAAAGAAGATTTTACATTTCAATTAATCTTTTTCTCAAAAATGTAAAGGGAAGTATCTTTTTGTGCTTTTGCATTACCAAAGATCATTTATAAACATTCTTCTCTTAAGTAACGATTTTACACTGTATTGCAATTAAAAAAAAAAAAAATGTGCACTATATTTTTTACCCTGTAAAAACATCTGTTTCAGGCTAATAGTTTTGCTTAACAAAATATACTTTAGTAAAATACATACATAGTTAAACACATAACAAAAGAATGTCAAGTGTTCAGAATGTCCCTTTTTTAGTTTGAAATTACGCTATTTAATTCTAATGGGCTTATTGTAATATGTAAGGTGCATTTCTATTCCTTTTTTCTTTTCCTAAGCTCCTCTTCAACTAGCAACGATTGGGAAAATTTTAAATGTTTAAAAATAAAAATGAAAATAAAAATTCTCTATCTATCTTCCAGTTCCAGGATGGATAGCAAGTCTTACTTGGTTCAGATGAACGGGAATGGAGTCCACAGCAAAAACAGTGTCAATGCTAAAACCCTTAATGGGAGCGGAGTGAATGGGAAGGTGGTTCACGGGAACAGCATCCTCCATGTCAATGTGAATGGCACTCTGTATCCGACCAAAGCCAAGAGCCGCAGGCAAAGATGGTCAGTGAAGCCATCAGAGATGTCCAACAACACACTCAACCCCATCAGGGCCATCGTGGACGGGATGAAGCTCACCCCCAATCCAGACAAACCCATGATCGCTCTCTCCATTGGTGAGTGGCCCTCTGCATAGTTAAATAAGTGATTATTCCTATTTCCTTTTAGCTTTCTTACAAATTTTATTTTCAGATCTAGAAGGTTGATCTTCATGTGTTGCTTATTCTTTGGTTTCTTACATTGTTTCTCTGCAGGGGATCCTACTGTGTTTGGAAACTTGCCCACTGATGATTCCGTGCTTCAAGCCATGAAAGATGCCATAGACTCTCAAAAATACAACGGCTATGCTCCTTCAGTTGGTGAGTCACATGAACAAGAAGTCCAATGCATTACTCAGATTATATGGAATCTGCAATAAAAATAGTTGTTGGAATGAGGAAAGAACGGAAATTGACTAATTTTGACGAATGCAACCTGGCCATTAGGTAACCTACTCTGTCTTTATGCCGTTAAACATGTTTTACACAGTACCTGTGTTAATCAAAATACATTTTTCACAATAAGGTGTCCGTCCAGGCGTCCACAACATTTTACTTACTCCACTTCCTAAACCGGCATGCTAGCTAGCTTCCAGTCACTATAAACTGACACCGGTTGATCTAGGCATAGCCAATGGCTAGCCAGGGCTTCATGTGAGTGGCCATTGTCTATGTGAATGCATGGCTTTTGTACAAAAAAGTAGATTTTCTTATTCCTTGTAATCCAAGCAGTTGGAAACAAATGCCATTTCACGTCAGCTTAGATATCAAAGATACCAAAGCATAAAGGTTGTTTTGTTGAGGTATTATAGCTACTTAAGGTGAGTGTACAAGTTCAGCTTAGTAACCACAAAAAGTTGATGTTATTATATGATATACAGCATGCTAATGTTTGCATGTTTTGTATATTATTTCTGCAGGTTATCAGAAGAGCCGGCAAGCAGTAGCCAACTTCTACAGCTGCACTGAGGCGCCACTGGAGGCAGAGGTGCTCACCACTCCTTAGCCTCCCACTTTTGCATTGTTTTTGCATTATGAGCAAATGAAAATAACTATTTTTAATATAATGTCAATTTCCATACAATAAGATTGTAATACGTCATGTTTTTGTGTATGTATGTATGTTTTTTAAAATCAATCTGCTTTATTCAGGTGAAGGAATAAAACAGTTTAGAGTCTGTGCTCAGAAAACTAAAGTACTTCTACCCTCCCTTCAGGATGTGATTTTGACCAGCGGCTGCAGCCAGGCCATTGACCTGGCTATCAGTGTCCTGTGTAACCCAGGGGACAACATCCTGGTCCCGTGCCCAGGCTTCTCATTATATAAAACTCTGGCTGTCTCCATGGGCATTGAGGTCAAACTCTACAACCTGCTGGTCAGTAAGAGATGCACCATCAACATATTTGCTCTGTTTTCTCTGTTTGTAATGGACACACAAACTTACTCTGCATACATTTTAATTTGAGAGATAAAACACATTTAAAGTTAAACAATTAAAGGAAAATTCTCTTTGGCACACATTTAAAAGTCATCTTCAGTACAGATAACTTTATATCTAACCTTTTTAAATGTACTACAAGCTCAGCTATACTTTTGATTCTGTAATTTTTATCCAAGTTTCTCTTGTCTGCATGTCATGAAATTAGATCAAAAGTTATAAAATTAGATTATAAGAAGATCTTCAGCTGTAATTCAAATAAATAGATAAACTCTACCACATAAACTCACAGGAATGAACTTATAATGACCATATAATAAATTAATGTAGACAGTAATTGCAATTCTACTCAGTAATCCTTTCAAAGAAATATTTAAAATATTCAATGGACCGCGCGTGAAGTTAATGACACCGGGGTCACAGGAGGAGACGTGTCGAGGCCACTGATTGGAGAGAGATGTGGGAAGATAACAAACAAATTACATGAGGAAGTTGAGAGTAAATGTTCTAAGCTTGTGTAATGCACATGTTTAGTGTACTGTACACAATGTTAAAAAGCAGCTGTTGAGGATATGATATTTTTCACCTTGTTCTCCATCAAGGCATTGATTTAACTTAATTTCCGACAGGCTGCTCTTTCATGTTTGATGTTGTGTCTGTCCTTGAACATAATGTTTGCACTATCATGCAAGTCCAAAGTTGTTGCCCTAATCCTGACATACATCTGATTTTCAGCCTGAGAAGTCATGGGAGGTTGATCTGCAACACCTGGAGAGCCTGATTGATGAGAGGACTTCCTGTATGATTGTTACTAATCCATCCAACCCGTGTGGCTCCGTCTTTAGCAAGGAACACCTGCAGAAGATCCTCAAAGGTGAGCTGCAGCTCTGCCCAACATTTGGACAAATACATTCACACAGCATTTAGCCTCATCTAAATTCAATTTGAAATGATTCTTGTTTTTCTCAGTGGCTTCCAAACACTGCCTTCCCATTCTTGCTGACGAGATCTACAGCGATATGGTGAGTACAGCTACTACTCTGACCGCTGTAACACCAGCGAGGCACATTTTTCTGTTTCATTTTGGTGGTATTTGGCCGGGCTCTGGATGGTCAGCACAGGGGGGATTATTGGTGATATGCAGTGAATGAGGCCTGGAAATAGCAACCAGTAAGGCGGGTACGCTGGATGAGCAGGAGGCGGGGAGGTCAGCAGAAGCAAGCAGTGGAAGTTGGCCATAATGATGGAATTTTATTCTCAGGCTATGTGCCTGCTCATGTCCAAAAGTGCAATCAAGTTCAGTTATAAAGACGATTCATCACAAGTAAATTATTTCAAATTAAGTTAACAGCATTACTCCTACTTGAATGAACTTAAATAAAATATTAAATGCAATAAATAAATGAAATGATACTAAAGTTATCTACAAAATGTATATTGTAAAACTCAGCCTTAGCTAACCCTGACTTCTCTTCTCGTTTAAATATCGTCAATTGTGGCTTCCAAAAAGACAACACAGTAACAGCCAAATTACTAAAATAAAGGCTTCAAATCGCTATATACATTACTTTTTATTGTTGAACTAATTCTAATAATAAAAACAACAACATTGAAAGAATTTCTGTCCCTGTGGACATTACAGATAAAACTACTACAACCATGTATTTGGATGCAGCCAGAACTTAAGGGCAGAAGGACAGAGGATCATAGCTCAATGTTGACTATCAATCAAACAACAACATCATCAGAACATTCAGTCCAAAACGTCATCGCAGGCCTTGACAACTTTGTACTGGTCAATGTTCGGCTGAAGGTCATGCAAACAAGTATGCACCCACGTAGACTCCTATTCAGGCAGACAGGTTTGGTCTGTGATTTATCAAGATAAGCAAATTGAGAGTCAGAAAAGGAATCTGCATCTCAAATGTTGTGTTTTCTTAATAGCGTGAAGATGACAGAAAGTACTCAAAGAAAAGGTAGAATGCAAGAAACGGACAATTTAATGTGACTCAATCAATTGCGCACAGAGTCCTGAATTCTGAAGTTAGTGATTTTTGTTGTTTAATTGTTTCGTAACAGTTGCTGTGAGTGGAAAAATTGAGGGTTGGGGTTTTTGAGTGCATTCCCAGATAGAACACAAGCAGACCAGAGTGACTTTGCACTTTTGCCTGCATGTGGTTGCAATTAATGCAGATGTTGGGTTTTGGAGAGGCAGAAACACGACAGGAATGGGAGGGGAGGAGTGTGGTGGGTGGAGAGCTGGATGTGTGTGTGTGTGTGTGTGTGTGTGTGTGTGTGTGTGTGTGTGTGGGGGTTGTGGTGGTAGTGAGGCCTTTTTGTATGACTTTAGTGTGAGGAGGCTTAGGGGGCCACGGTGTCTGTGAACTTCACCTGGCTCACCTGGCTCAGTGGGACATTAGTCCCCTGACGCTCCTCTTCCAAAAAAACCTGAGCAGTAAATTGTGATTTTACACACGTCTGCACAGTCCAGATGTCTGACCAAATTAACAGTTCCAAGTCAGTCATCACTACCGTTAGCTTACAGGACACGTTGTTTTCCACACCTTTAATTCAGAACAGAACTTGCTTTTTCACATAATTCTAATTCACATTCAGTTTTTTTGCTTCCCCTCTCCACTGATCATTATGTTTTATGTAAACGTACTCTTACTGAACTCGAGTTCTGCATTCACACATGTCAAGTGAGCTCAGACAACCACAGGCCAAAAAAACGGCTTTGAATTGGAGAGACATGCAGGCACATTTTAAATGTACATTACTGTTATGTCATTCATAGCAGTCCAGCCAATAGGATGCGGGGCAGTTCCCTTTACTGCGTCAAAGATTCTGAAGGGCTTTAATGAAAACCAGCTTTGTGTGGGTGGAGCGTAGCTTACTGCGGTTACTGTATGGTTAACCCCAAACTGTTCCCCCTAAACTACACTGCCCCTCTCTTTGTACTCCTCATGTCCTTCTTCTGGTTTCTCCCTTACCTACACTATATTATGTAATAAAAAATGCACTCTTTGTCAAGTGTTTTTTTCACAAGTGTTAAAATATATAGCGATATCTTTACTCGGTTGTGTATAAGTAACAAAAAAGGTAGGCCTAGAGTTTAGTTCAGGACATCTAGAGTATTTAAGCTGCACTTGTCAATATTTCATAAATACCCATCATAAACATTTGAGACAACAGACCTGTCGAATTTTAATGAAGTCACCAGTTTGGGACAAATCAAACTTTCTCACTCTGCAGTTGGTGTTATGCAGCTTTACCTCCCCTCCCCCTTCTGGTCATTGGGTTTGGCAAGCCACTTTACTATTTAGATTGAGTTCGTTTTGCTCCTATCCCTATAGGTTTTCCCAGGTGTTGACTCTCCTTCGATGGCGACTCTCAGCAGTGATGTTCCCATCCTTTCCTGCGGCGGGTTAGCTAAACGCTGGCTGGTACCTGGCTGGAGGATGGGATGGATCCTCATCCATGATAGGAATGATGTATTTGGAACCGAGGTTAGTAGACTGTCCATGTGCTTTCTTTTAATAGTGAGAAAATAAGAAGACTACAGGAGATGACTGTTACATTTAACCTATACATACAATACAATTGTAAAATATGTTTCTTCTGTAGATTCGACGGGGTCTGGTAAAACTGACCCAGCGTATTCTTGGAGCCTGCAGCATTGTTCAGGGAGCCCTGGAGAGTATCCTCAACAACACACCTCAGAGCTTCTACCAAGAAACCATCAGTTTTCTCAAGGTAAGCAGGGGGAATGATATCTGTCTGCACACAATACAACTTGATATTTCTTTATCTGACTGATACATAAGAGACGGCCTTATTTATACCCTGGATATGGTTTTTAAGGTAAATAAATTGTGCAATCGAATCAGAGGAGGGACGGGGTTCACTAGTAACACTAGGAGGACGATTGTACTTTTATCTCCTATGTGCCGCTTGTTTTGTGATTTTAGCCTGACTTCCAGACACATGTCACTCATGACACTGACTGGTTGGTTCATCTTTTCCTTCCTCAGTCTAACTCAGAGCTTTGTTTCAACGAGCTGTCCATCGTCCCCGGCCTGACCCCTGTGATGCCTTCAGGAGCCATGTACCTCATGGTCAGTACTAAAAATGTGTATGAGAGTATACAGAAAGTTACAAACTAGAGCATATAGTTACATAAGAATGGGCTTTTAACAGGCAGAGAAGCTCTTACAATGCATTATGGGACATGTTGAATCCAGAGTTTTTGGGCCTTTACCATAAATGATTTGTTTTTATAAAGAAACAAGCCTGATTTTTTTTAAGCTGTTGTTCAAAAATTCAAGATTGACTTCATATTTCTGCACCTGATTTTGCCATTAGGACATGATTAATACATTATTTATCCAATTTATCCAGGTGGGAATCGACATGGACCACTTTCCAGATTTTAAAAATGATGTGGACTTCACTGAAAAACTTGTGACCGAGCAGTCTGTCTTCTGTCTGCCTGCTTCGGTAAGACACAATCACTGCTTATCATTCATCCTTTTGCTGCTGCATCTTTCTAGACGCTTGAATTTCAAAGAAACATGTGTGCTTCATAACCATTGTACGAAGTAACCAACTGTGTTCATGTTCTGTCCTTGTCAAGGCGTTTGAGTATCCAAACTACTTCCGCGTTGTGGTGACGGTGCCTGAGGAGTTGATGATAGAGGCTTGTGGTCGCATTACTGAGTTTTGCCAGCGGCACTATCGACCCCGCAGCCGTGACAGCAATGACCTGGACCAGTGATATAGCAGGACCAGTCTGATGGCATGAGCCTTGTATAGACCAAAGTGTGTGGATAAACTGTCTTCATGTGATTTATACTGAGCTGGAATCAGCTTTGAAATGTATACCACCTTGTAGTAAAGATAAAGATGTAGACATGTCAAAACTGTGTTAATATTGTCACCACTGTGGCAACAAAAAGCTAAGAAGAAGCGTTTGATGGTCCATTGATGGTGTAAGTTTTTATGTAAACCGTATGAAATGAGGAGACCTAATATTTATATTTTATACAAGCAGCCTATATTAGCCTATACGTGTTTGTGTATTTATATAAGTTGTGTAACGCTTTCTATGTCAATGCAATGTAACCTCTTTGATAGCGACTTGGATAGGTTCATAGCCCGTGCATACTGTACAATATGCCTTGCTTTTATATATGTTATGTATGAATAATCTTGGGCCTAGTTTGCTTGTGCTAGAAAACTGCTCTTTATGTATTGTTAGTTTGCATAAACATGCTCTTTATCTCAGCATACTCTGTATATTGTTTAAGTGTGAGTCGTACACTTATGTATAAAGATATTTTTACAGATGGAAATTTTATGTAGTTTTGTTTAAAGAAACCTAATAAAAAAATCTTAAAATGACTGGTGTGGACTTTCGTAGGAAAAAAGATTGAGATGCACAAAAAAATAAATCACACTTTGCTCACTGAACACAAAGTACAACATACGAGAAACTGGAACAAAAGCTGAATCTTATTTTGGATTTTAAAATGCAACAATGTCTAATCTGGCTCTTATCCTACTTATATAACGTTTACAAATCATACTGAACTCAGAGCTTAATGACATGTGCAGGATGTCTATGCATTATATCGTCTAACCTTTAATTCCTCAAAGTCTCCTCTTTACTTTTAACAGGCTTTTCAAATCTTATGTAACTACAGCGCATGTGACTTTATGTGTACAGGACACATATGGATCCTTTCACTGCAGCCTGTGAGCTGTCACTTACACTAAACTGGAGCTCCACTGTGTAACGCTGGGTTATAGAACGGTTTTCCATCTGGCAGCTACTCTCTGGTAGCATTTAAGATTTGTTGGATTGTGCTTGAACTGCATTTAGCCAACACTTTCTTTGAAGGTCTGAAAAATAATTAGAAGTACATTCAGACAACTGTAAAGCACAATAATAATGCATCTGTATGGATGTGACATTATAGCCAACGCTCGCGTGCTGTTAGGACACAATGTGAGGTTGTGGTAAACGGGATGTGAGTGTTAAAAAAGTAAGCCAATACAGAAGTGCAAAAAATTCTTCACACTGTACGAGTGGCACATTTTTTCACAACTCATTTTATTTACTGATTTTACTAAGGCTACGAGTTATGCATAAGGGGCGTGGATACAGTTTGTAGCAATTTTAAAGAAGGCCCGCCCAAGTGGTGACTTCCGCTCTTGAAAAATAAAGGCAATGTAGAAGTGCAAATCCTGCTGTTCTCTTAGTGTCTTGAGGCCCCAAGAGCCCCGGAGGTCACATACAAACCTCAACCATAAAAACATGTTTACAGCCTGGTACAAAAAATGGCATAGGTCTAATTAGTTACTGTCATAATGGGCACACACAGTACGGGGGGGTGATTTTTTTTTTGAACAGCTCCATTTTGATTTTATGAACAATACGTGTTATCTATCGTTAGGCGCGTAGCTGCCATGATTGACAGGTTGGCACAATGTCATGCTTCATCAAGAGGCTTCAAACCCCCCTCAGCTCCAGCTCTCAGCCTGGTGTTAGGTTGACTGAAAGTTAGGGTGAGACAGCATTTCCAGCATGGCGGCTGCTGCCGATGAGCCTCCGGAGCCCCCTGCTGTAACAGATGGTTGACGTCACTCAGGCTTTGTCCATTAATATTTAAAGTCTATGGTCCCACCTCAGCTCCACCTCTTTGCATTTTACTAAGATGACTGAAAATTAGTTTGTGATACCATTTCTAATATGACAAAAGCCCTCGATGGGCTTCAAAAGTCCATTTCAGAAACCAATGGGTGATGTCACTGATGTCTGTGTCATGTAGTGTATGTAATTAAAACTTTCTCTGGCATTAACAGGCTTATATCATTCTTAAGAAATAACAACATTGTTTGATTCTCCAGTAAATGGAACAGATATTAGATATAACTTGGTGATGGCAGACTTTTGTAGTTCTCTCACATCACAGAACTGTGTGGCTGAGTTATCTGTTATTTTGCAATGGAAATGGTTCACTATCCAAGTAATAGCATTTGTAAATACAACACGGCAGGAGCATGACATTCATTAAGAATGATGATCAGACAGTTTAATTTCTAAGTAGGTGTCTATTGACAGGAGTTAATGGACAGCCTGCAGCCAGTGAACCTGTTTTTTTCTGCAAATGTGAATCATTATTTAAAAGCTACACAATGATACAATATCACCACCTAATGGTAAATTGAACATATTACAGCAAGACTTTCTAACAATGTGACACTTCCTGTGTGTGTGTGTGTGTGTGTGTGTGTGTGTCTGAGCGCGTCTGCACAGCTATCCCTATGACAAGAGTGACCTTTGCAACATGTTCCTCCACACTTAGGTATAAACACGTCATGCGGGTGAATTGTTTTGTGGTTGTTCAATAATTAACTACTGGAGACAGATAAGGCAGAAATGGAGAAAGATATAGTGAGTGCGGAGGGAACAAAAAAGAAACACCAGATACAGAGAAGTTTAATCAGCAAGGAAAGAGGACGTTGACTCAGCAGAAGCAGTTTGAGGGGAAAAAGAGGAAGAGGAAAGCCCTGACACTGTGTGTGTGGCGAGTGTATGCTCTTATTTGTTTCTCTCTTGTAGTGGTTAAATGTACTCCACGGAGGACTCACAGGTGGCCAGGACCATAGAGCTGAATGATGGTACTAGAATGCCAGTTTTAGGCCTGGGAACATGGAAGGTAGACTTAACATTAATAATTTCATTCTTACTTTACAGGTCAAGTTTTCATTCATTTGTTTCTTCTTCTTCTTTTAAGAGTTATTTTCCTAAAAAAAACAACACAAATAGTTTTTAGTTACAAGTTTTTTTTTTTTTTAAATGAATAGCATATTCAGGATACTGATTGGCTAATTAATTTGCACAGTTCAAATGGCAATAAACTTCTGCCAAGTTGCAAACAGATCCCATCTCATTTTACAAAGTAATTGTCATACATGGGAAATGCAGTTTTAATTACGCTTCACTGCCAAGAGCTGGATTAGAAGAATGATTTACATTTGGCTGTGTTTGAAATAGGGAGCTACAATCATAAATGTAGGTATCTGATGAACGATGTATAAAATCTGCAGAATCATCTTGCAATATTTACAACATAGGCTATTTGATGACTTTAAGCTACAAATTCCACCACTTTGTAGCAAACATTACTTTTTCATAGTGATTCATGATACAGTAGCAAATTATTAGTTAACAGTACCAACAGGTTGCTAATGGAAAGGTTAGCTTCCCTGTTATAACTTTGTTGTCTTTACCTATAAATGTTTTGTTTTTTTTACCTTCTAAAATAGCCCAATGTCCAACCAACTGTTTAAAAAAAAATGCATATCTTAATTGTTCCAGTCCTACCATCTTCCCCGCACCTCAGTCCAAGGAGCTGTTGAGGCCGCCATTGCTGCTGGCTACCGCCACATAGATACAGCTTACAACTATGGCAATGAGGTTGAAATTGGAAAGGCTCTGCGCTCTAAGATGCAGCAGGGCATCATCAAACGAGAGGACATGTTCATCGTTAGTAAGGTGGGTGCTGGACTGGAACAGTAAGATCTGGTGTTACAAGATGAGGAGCAGGAACTACATGTTATTTGTTTACACTACTCATACAATTTGTCCTTTTTTGCAAAGAGCAGAATAGAAAGAGGCTTAAAAATGACAAACCCAAATATTGGTTATAATGACAATTTCTGGTTAACTCAAATACACTCTGAAGTTACTAAAGAGTACAGTTTACAAAGAACAATTTCTAATTGATATGATGTAGGATTTTAAAGTCTTTCTATGCTGAATACGCTGCCGTACTTTGTTTATGATCACATTTTTTTTCTGTTAACCTTCACAAACTTTACTTTTTTTTTGTAGCTGTGGCTTACTCATTATGCCCAAGAGGACATCCCTGTGTGCTTGAATAAGTCATTGAATGATCTAAAGCTGGATTACCTGGATCTTTACCTGATACATTTCCCCGTTGGATTCAAGGTACAGTGTAACACTCAAAAAACTGTGACATGAATGAAATTTTACTGCTCAGTATCCTGCTCGTATCCCAGAGGACCTTAGCCAAGGCGGTCTGACATTTTGGACGCTATAGATGGACTTAAGAAAGTTTCTGTCCCAAAAAAAAAGGAAAAGCGTTGAAACATCATGACATCATTCGCAGCCATACATACAATCAAAGCCCCCCAAAGCAAACTAAGATAATTACAGATGGATTAAACATATCTGGGTCTTTGGATCTTGGATTGTATCTTTGCTAATTGTTCTTATTAATTCACCTGCCAGTCACCAGTTAGTTGGCTGTTTGGTATTTGAAGGAAGTGAACAATGGCTTTATCAGTTTAGAAAAGAAGATGCTTTCTGCTGCTGATAATGGAATCAATATTTTTCACAAAAAATGATTCAGTCAACCATAAAGCCGACCATCCGTTTCATTCCTCAACTGTCAAATACCAAATGCTTTCCTTAGGGCGTCATTCAAATACATAAAGTGTCTCCATGAGATTCCCCTCTCTTTCAATGAATGCAATGTAAAATCCAATGTTAGATTGTCAAATAAAATACTTTTTGTGACATTGCAGAAAACACAGCTGTAGTCTGCTTGAGATGGGGGTCACAGGGGCTGGATGGGCCAAACAACGACAAAAGACTGAGTTTCAGTCACTCCTGTGTGAAACCAAAGAAAACACTGAGTTACTGATAACATTGAGTTACTGTTAAAACCAATTCCATAATGTTTATCCTAGTCTAAATCATGCAGTGTTGTCCTCTGATGACCTGGGACGAGAAAGTGTTGCGTCTTAAAAGTGCGTGCAGACCAGAGAACCAAAAGATGCTAAAAGAAGGAAACTGGAAGGGCTTAAACTTACGTTTTAAGTGAGTTTATCCTATTTTTGACTGTTACCTTTCTTGTAACCTTTTTCTTAGAAAATGGGTGATGAGCTTTTTCCGAAGAAGGATGGACAGATGCTAACCTCTGATATAGACTATGTAGATGTTTGGAGGGTAAGTGAACTGAAAGGAATGTACTCATGAAAAATATTTATATGAATTCATCTACAATATTTCGGCATATAAATTGGGTTCCTTTTTGTATTTATACATTCTTCATCCATCCGTCTTAGAAAGTTAATTCTGATATTTTTCAGTTCAGTCAAATAGTTAGAAGACTCACAGTTCATGGTAGACGTGTTTACACTGGCTGTTTTATCTTCAGGGGATGGAAGCCCTGCTGGCCTCAGGGAAAGTGAAGAGCATTGGTGTGTCCAACTTCAACATCTTGCAGCTGGAGAGACTTCTAGCTCTGTGCAGGGTGCCTCCTGTCGTCAATCAGGTACTGCATATTTTTGCTGGAGCCAAGTTCATAAATTTACCAAGCTATATCAAGATCGGCCTCCACATGTGCTCACATTTTATGTGGTCCTTCATGATACTTAGGTGGAGCTTCATCCCTACCTGGTGCAGACTGAATTAATAGAGTTCTGTAAATCCAGGAACATTGCCCTGACTGCCTACAGCCCCTTTGGCTCGCCTGCGAGACCCCCAGAGTTGTAAGACAACCAGCATTACACCACATTTACTTGCATGTCAGAGAACACTGGAGATGTTACTGTTTATAATGTAAGCAGTAAGCCCTTCAAACAGAACCTTCAAACTGGTAAATGCAGATATAAAAAGAAAGGGCAGTTTTTCATCTCCTCTAATATCATTCCAAGGTTTCAGATAAATCTATACAATAATATGATATAATAAAACAAAGTGAAACACAATACAACGGGTAAGTTTATTGCTTTTAATGAACGAGTGCATCATAACTTAATAAAATAGATACAATATGTTTAAATAACTATCATGATTATATTGTGTGTGTGCGCAAAAGAGATGACTCTTTTGAAAACAAGTGGACACTAGATGATAAGAGATGCTTCTTTCAATACATGCACACTGGTTTAATTTGATAATGCAACAGTGATCTTACTTACCACTCTTTGCAGAGATAATGATATGCCTTTTAAACTATTTCCACCAAAGCTTTTTTTTCTGGTGGATATTTCACTTCCACGGAGAAACTGGAGATTTCAAGGATCTTATTCATGCAGTCGGACTAGCCGCATTGTTGCACAATAAATTCTGTTCTGTTCTAATAATGCTGTATCTGATCCAACAGTGTTTGAATATCTTTAATCTGTTTTATAACGCAGTCAGTAGATTACTCTAGTAATGTGTGAAATAGAAATCTAACTATGTGTGTTTATTAAAAAAAAACCTGTTCTCTTGTCTTTGTGTCTTGTATATCTTAGATTCAGAGGAGAAGCTGATCCACAAAAGCTCCTGGACGATCCGGTCATAGCAGAAATAGCCAAAAATCACAGACGCAGCCCAGCACAGGTCAGTGAGAACTACGATGTGATGTGTGTATGTGTTTGTTTACCTGTAAGTGACGGAGGTGTTTACCCAGGTGTTGCTGAGGTACCACGTGCAGCAGGGTATTTCAGTCATCCCAAAGAGTGACAGGCCTCATCACATCCTTGAAAACACAAAGGTAAAATGTCTCTGTGGCATAGTGTTAGATATTTACTATTTATGTTGTACATTGAAATGACTGAATAACCTGTTACAGTCACATAACTAACTGTCTGTCTGTCCATTAAAATAGATAAATATTATTAACAGTATTGGTGAAAAAAAAAACACACTATACAGTATTTTACTGCAAAACACAGTTGCCCAAATCAGTCCTGGTGTTATTTCATGCAGGTTTTTGATTTTCATCTGACTGAAGAAAATATGAGAGCACTGAGAGGATTAGACCGAGGGTGGAGAGCTGTCACACTTTCAGAGTAAGTCAATATACCTTTTTTTAAATTATTTTTAGAAATGGCTGTACAGCTATTAATGCTATGATGATTGTTGTCCTGTTTATTTCAGAGTTAGTTCTCATCCATACTATCCCTTTGATGAGGTATCCAGCAGCATCAAGACCTAATAAGACTTTAAAACAGCTCATCAACCAAAGCCATATCAATCAACACTACTGAGACCAGCGTCATGTTGATCAGCCTACAGTATCACACACACTGTGTACGACTTCATCAGTGACTTGTTAACCTTTAATGATGGAATCTGATCGGGGAGACCAATTGGAAACAATTGAGTGTGAACAACATAAATCAGTATCATGTTTTTTTTTCACTGTAATTAATAAAATACTTTGTCTAAGCAATATTTCACTTTATTTGTTCAAATGTTTTTGAATGCAGAATCTAACAAATATTGTACACTAAATTATTTCTTCACATTATAATTAAAAATGAGTTGAGGTAGGCGCCTGTAAAAGCACGTTATATAAGAATCTGGGCTTTTGTGTGCAACAGATGATAGACAAGGCTTTTTAGACCAGTTTAAATTTGTCTGCATACTTTAAAATAAAATAACACATAAACACAATCAGTGAAATGAACCTCATTCTACACTGGGGAGGCAGTGATTTCAATGTATTTGCTTTACAATGACAAGTCAGACTGAACTTGCAGCTTGATTCAAAGGTTCTTTGATGAAATCTTTCAGAAAGAGATTTACCCTGGTGGTCCTCATACTCATCATCTGACATGGACATAGTGACCAAACAAACTCTCTGCACATTGCAAATGAAATAGAAGGTTTGTTATGTTCTTCAACTGTAGTTCCTGAAAATGGTCTAGCCTCAGGACCCACCACCTACTCCTTAATAAGAATTTGCAACCCAAATATCGGATATTTTTCAACTAATGAGCTTTGTTTTATGAAATATTGTGCAGTTTGGACCTCAGACGGTACAAAACACATGACACATCAAAGAGATGAAAGAAAACAAACAGGTTTTAAAAGTAACTCTTTTTACCCTTTTTCCCCAGGCACACTTTTGCAACCCACTTATGGGTCCCGACCCATCTGTTTAGCACCACTGATCTAGCCTACAAACTATGGCTTTTCCCCCCTTGCTTAGGGTAGGGTTAATGGTTTCTTGATTTCAGACAGAAATTAACAAAATAATTTAATGGATTTTAGTTGTTTACTGTTTTCTTTTATGTCAGATATTATCAGCTCTGGCTAGCAAGCTAATAAAGCTAATGCGTTTAGCTATTTTACTTGCTTATTTGTCTCCTGCTGACCTTCTGGACGCTTTATTTATAGGGCTTCCAATTTTTCGCCGACATGACCCATCAAGAAATCTTTGTCAACTTTTTCTAAAGCCAGGGTGAAAATGCCCTCGTTAAAATCACGTTTTAATGTAACATTTAGTATCTATTTACTTGACCTTAGAAATGTTCAGGTCATGTTAATAATTGAATGTCTGTTATAAGCACCTTAACAATGGGCTTCTGTGAAGAATGAAGAGGGCTAGCAAGCAAACCTTCCAAGAAGGGTCCCCTAGCTCTATATATATTTACCAAAACATGTCCAGAGATTTTGTTTTACAAAGATGTAGTTCAGTCAGACGACTCACGTTTGTATCGTTTAAAATACTTATTGCAGCCGAACATAGTTTGTGTTTGGCGTCTAGGCTCCGACATCATCACTCCTCACAGTTTTATTTTACATACAGAAATTTGAGGAGTGAGTGGATGACATCTTAACCCCCCCCCAGTTGGAGCCTACAAGTGGATGCTGGGTGGTGGTGGGGCTGAGTGTGGGTGCAGTACTGCTGCAGGTCAGACAGTGAAAGAGCTGAGGGAGAGAACGGAAATCTTGCAGCTTAAATAGATCACTAATTGGAAGTCGGTGTTGTCAGGTGATTGTTGAGTGTGAAATCAGTGCAGCTCAAGTTGACTGCCTGAACTAGCTCCCAGGCGTTGCCTCTTTATAGAAATAAAGAATTGAATCACACCTTTATTTCACTGATGTAAAACACAATCAAACAGTGATGTTAAATGTCAAATGTAGATTAAGTACATTAGGCTGTTGTTCTTGTTGAATATTCATCCTTATAACTTTGCATCAGAATTGTGTAGCAGGCTCTTTCTTAGCACAAAGTCTGTCTTTATATTTTAGTCCAAAAAGAAAGTTAATTTCCACTACGTGGGTTGTGATCTTCCTTTTGTGCCTTGTCCAACCTTTCTCTGCTCTGGAGATGCTGATGATGGTGAGGCCTTCACAACACACACACATGCTGAGGCCCCAGCGATGCGTTTAGGCAGGTCGGGTCCTCTGGACCATGAGCCCTTGTCCGGGTCGTACACCTGAGTGGCTCTGGAGAAAGCCATACTCTCCCAGCTGTATCCCCCCAGCACATAAATCCTCCCCGCCCAGACCGCGAGTCCTGCCTCACTGTTGGGCAGAAGAAGAGGTGCCACATGAGTCCACTGGCCGCAGCGTGGGTCGTATGACTCCACCTTTAGAATGTCAAAGCGCTCTGTGGTGTCTTCATGGTCATCGCTGCCCCCGATGGCATAAATGAGGTGGTTGAGGGAGGCCATGCAGTGCCAACCCCGGGCCATCGACATGGCCTGGCGCTCCGCCCACTGATCACCGTCCTGGGATGGGTCGTAACTCAGGAAATCTCGGCGGTACGGGCCAATCTGATAGTCATGACCGCCTGAGATGTAGACAACACCGTGGTGGACCGTCCCTGCATGTCCGTAAGTTAACCTAGGTAGGATAGAATTCAGAAAGTCAAATTCTAATGTAAGAAACAACAATAACAACTTCAGCATCTTTTTTTACAGGGCTTGTTTTACCTTGGACCTCATATATTTAGTCATACTTGCAGGGGTCGTTTGTGATCTTACTTCAACCAAATGTCTGTAACTTGTCAATTAAAACTACATAAACAAATTCAAAAGGTCAAGTGATTATCTGAGTCCTGTGCCAATCAACATCTCTGATTCCTCACTTTTATTTACTTATTTAAGCAAAAAAAAAAATGTATATATGTCATTTATATAGGAACCTTTTGACAGAATATTTGGTGCAGAAATCAAGAGTCTGATCTCACTAAGACAGCATGGAGAACAACATTGGCAGAAAGAGGGCGCTCAGATTAATTGGACCAAATGATCTCAGCATGATTAGAAGGATTATAATTATTGATAATTATTCATTGCAGCATGTTTGAGGAAGTATTTGACATAATTCAATAAGCTCAACTGTTACTGTGTCACACTTTGTATAGTACGGTTAGGAGGAGGATGTTTTGTGTATACAGACTTCTTATTCTGTGTGAATACACTAAACACAGACATGGGGGCTAAACTCTAAATCACCTTCTTGTCCCACTCGTTCAGTGCAAACAGGGCTAAAGTAAACAAAACGTCTTCATTACATGGGGCAAAAAAACACATGGTCTAAGTCTATGGGCCTATGTAGGGTGCTGATATGGGTTGTACTTCCAAATGTGACAGGCATTTCACTTTAAAGTTATTCAACCCATAATTCATGTTAAAATATGGAATCATTACATTTACACCTGTGGATTGTGTGTGGATTTGACACATCTGGTGGTCATCAAAATAAGACTTAATGTCAGATAATAAGCTAAATTAAGTGACAGCTCACGGCCTCTAAAGCCCCCCTACAGAAACCCAACTTTGACTGAAGCTGCTTGATTGTGTGTTTTTATGAGTTTTTCATACGCTGATCTGCTTGTTTTCAGAAACACAAAGCTTGTTGACTCTTGGAACTGTAGATTGGGGATTCAAAAATATTTCCAAATAAAGAGCTGTAGATGTTTGTTGGCATCTGCTGAATGAGATGTAACACTGACATATTGTAACAGCAGACTGGATGTTTTCATACCTGGGCAGTTCTGCCACATAGGACCAGCAGTCCTCAGCGGGACAGTAAACCTCCACAGAGGACAAAGCTCCGCTGTCGTTCCTCCCTCCAACAGCAATCAGACACTCTCCAACTGTCCCCAAGTAAAAATCCACTCGCCGCTGGTTCATTGATGCACCCTGGGAAAAAAAATCACTGTCAAAGACTTCTACTGCAAACTGGAAGTGAGAAATTATGAAATTATGAAAAATGGCATTTGAACTGGCATGGTACAGTACCCTGGTCCACTGGTTGTGGCGGGGGTCGTATCTGTACAGCAGGTTGCAGGCAGCATCTCCACCGTTGTCCCTGGACGAGCTGCCCCCCGCAGTGAAGATGAAACCCCCGAGCACTGCCAGGCAGTGGTGGCTCCGCTGGGCCGGCAACTCCGTCTCCACCTTCCAGCTTCCTGTTTCGCTGTCCAGCCGGCAAACATTAGCGCTCAGCTCCTCTCCACGTTCTGACACCTCCACAAGTAAGAGAGCGGGATGCAGAAATCAAATGAACTTTTCAGCCTATTTATAACTGACACAATTTAGAACATTTTCTTTTCCAAAATATAAAGAGGGTTTCATGTAAGAGTTAACGTTAATATTTGCAGATTTTTAAACATGGCTTTGGAGTCTCTAAAAATCGAGTCATCATCTGAGTGATGCATAACACATCTGTACCTCTCCTCCAATCTGCAGCAGCCGCTCCACTCCTCCCCGCACCGTGGTCCGACCTGTCTGCAGGAGTGGCTGGGCACTCGGCCTGGCATGATAACCAACAGCTTCCTCCACCAGGGCCTCGCAGCCAGCCTCCTCCGGCAGCAGGGTCTGCACAGCTGGCAGCACCCGGCCTACCAAGTCCTCCATCGGCATCAGAGGGAAGCGGATGTGGGAGAGGAGCTGTCTGGCATGATGGGTCCGCTCAGGAGTTTGACTGAGCCACTGCAGGGAGGCCTGGAGGAGAGTTTGCTCGCTGTTGTGCTGAACCTGGAGATGAAGAGAGGAGCTCAGAGAGTTATCCTGACGACCACATCTAACTCTATTTCCCCACCCATGCTGTGGAACATGGTGTTTACCTGGCCACTGGAGAGGTAGGAGCTCAGTTTGTGGAAAGGCATGTCACGCAGAAAATCAGGGGTGAAGGAGAGCGTGGCAAAGCGTGTGAGGATGAAGTGGTCGATGAAGGCATCGAGTCGCTCCAGACTGTAGAGCAGAGCCAGCTCCTGCAGGTACAGATAGTTGTCCTCACTCACCTCCCGCTCCAGATACTGGCAGCAGAAATCCACCACTTGCCACACCTGAAACACAGAAGCATTCAGGTCAGTTATTTTTAATTTTACAGTACATACAAAATACAGTTCAACAAACCACGCAGACAGGCTCAGTTACATTTTATTACCTTAAGGTGAAGGAGTTAATATAAGGGGAAAGTTCTAGCATTTATCTTGAAAAGGTTAAGTTAGAGTCAAAGTTCTTCTATCATTTGAATGATCTTTATATAAAGACCATCTTCAGCTGATGTGGGGGTTTGTCCAAAGATGAGTCTGTGCTAACTGCAAGAGTACAAATAGGACATTTTGGACTTTCTATTACTTCTACTACTGTTGTTGATATTGATTGTATGGTTGTGTTATCTATTATCTTACGGACTTTACTGATCTAAAGTTGTTGAGGATTTTTCTTTAACAACTTTTAGATCAGTAAAGTCTTAGTATAATAGTAACCTTAACTATAAATTACTTTAAAGAAAATGAAAAGTTGTGCCAATTAAATCAGAAACAAACAAACAGAGGTTTGCAATCATTGTCCCCTTTGGCTAAAAATATCTTTGTTTACAAGTAGTACACATCCAGTCAGTGTTATGTAACATTATATAAAATATTATATATTTAAATATCATTTATGTTTGCATCGTCACAGCACCGTGTAAGTCTGGTTTGAAAATAGATTTTAAATCAAATGAACTTTGTGTCTCACCTGCAGGAGGTGGGCAGCTTCCAGCACGTAATCAATGTTTCCTCCATCCAATGGCAGCTCTCCGCTGTACAGGAAGTCCACTACAGCTTTCAAACCGACGTAAGATACTCCAACCAGTTCCACCTGCAAACAGGAAGAGGAAAATGGAGGAAAATAAGGAGGCGGACACATGGTTATTTCTCTATACGTCATCCTGCTACACATTTTAAAAGTATCAGTTAGTATGTCCATGGAATAAAAAAAATGGTGAGATGGTGAAAGTGAGAGGAATGCTTATAAACTTCCTTATTGTCTCATGTATAGAAAGTGTCTTAATAGTACAATATCTACCTCCTGCTGGTGTTCCTCCCTCATACCCAGAGTGAACATGGCATGAAAGTACGGGCTGGAGACAGCCAGCAGAGCTCTGTGAGCTGGGACCTGTTGCTCGTCAGCCACCAGCGCCACATCACAGAACTGACTGCTCCTCCGCTGCTCATTGAGGCCCTGCAGCACCTCCACAGCCTGATCCAAACAGTGGAACACCTGCAAACACACTGACCATGAGTTTCATCTTAATATGGATGTCTCAGTTACAAACACATCAACACTCTCAAACTATAGTGACTCCTGATTGCGTACATTCTCATGTATTAACTAGAAGTCATTAATAAACAAACTGACAGAGAAGATAGCTAACAGATTGTGACAGATTAGAAAAGAACATTAAGCTGCATGTCACGGCAATAACTTTCTCCAGGGACAAGGAACCTTTGGAGGTAGTCAGACCAGTTTCGACTGCCAGGATTAAATCTAGTAAGGGGGGTTCCTGGGTCGTTTTTTTTCTCTCCAATTAAGTACCTGCTTTGGGAGTACTTTACAAAATAACAGGATCTTTGGGGGGTGAGATTTGCAGTGCTGAATATTTCAGACTTGTTGCAGGATTATATTTCATGAATAATAAAAAAGAAACGTGTTTCTGTGAAGTGCTTAAACACTTATGAGGAGAGGACACACACACACACACACACACACACACACACACACACACACACACACACACACACACACACACACACACACACACACACACACACACACACACACACACACACACACACACACACACACACACACACACACACACACACACACACACACACACACACACCTTTGATGATTCACTGATCCGCTGGGGCCGACACACACGGCTCGCTTTGCCATTGTCCATGATGTCCCCTCAGGCAGGCATCATCTCTAGAGGAAGACGTTTAAAAACAATATAATATAAATGAATAACAGTGTGAACGAGCTAAGAGCATCTCATGTCAGTGCAGGTGTGCACAGCAGCTGCTTTCTTTAAAGGAATTACCAACAGGACACTGTTTAAAAGAGGATACAAAATGTACACAGACTTACTTTCCACGGTCTCTATATCAACTAAGAACCCTGCTTCATTAACATCGTTACTGAGAGCATAAAGACAGCTACATGGTGTCAGTACCCCGTTAGCTTCCTGATGTAAACAAATGAACTACCGGTTGAGGTTTTCAAAATAAACTCTTCTATTCAATTACTCCAGAACAAAACGTCAAGGCTTAAATCCCACAAACTAAATCAATTACCTCGCGATACTCAAAATAAAAAAGAGATGCAAAAAGACAGATTTCAAAAAGTTGTAGGTTCATTTATTCTGCATTAGACAAAGTAAAAGGTAGGGGTAAAAAGTGGGAAATGTGTTCAAAGTAATATTAAATTTCATGAGTAGGCATTTTCTTTTCTTTCACTTTTAGAATAAATTGAAAATCCAAATCAATGACAAATAATGACATTAAAGTCTAACTATTGTTTTGAGATTCGATGTAAGTCTGTACATTTCACTTAAGCTTTGTAAAGCTAAACATGAAAAAAACAGTAATTTTTGGCCCTTTTATTTATGTTATACCTGGCCACTGAAAAGCCCTTTTGACCTCTATTTCTTAAGAGGTCCGTTTTGTAGTAAAACGTTTAGTGGACAATGGCATAAACTTTTTTTTTTGCTATTTTAATTTGAAACTTATACTCTGCCTGAGCAGGAAGTCCAGGAAATAACATGCAGGCAATGAACCAATCACCGCGAGCTCTGTGCGGGTACATTCAAGACTCAAAATGTCATCGAGTGTTTGAAGATGCAAAAGTAGAAGTATAAATGATTGAATGTAGTTGCAGGGGCCTTTAAAAAAAACGGAGTGAGTCTATAAATTTAAACACTTCAGAAACTTCAGAGAATAATTTAACATCAACACCTTTTTAAGGGTTATGTATTCCATGTTTTTCCTATAATGCAAAGTTACTCTATGGGACAGACCTTTCACTTAACCCATAGCAGAAAGAAAATCTGGAAAACTGTGTTGTCATTGTTTTTCACTTTTTTTTTTTTTTTTTAAAGAAAAACAAAACATAATTACTCAAAATGAGAGGAAATCTGAAAAGAAAAACAGAACTTTAAAATCTGTCCTGTAATGACGGATAGGATGGACAATTTATTAAACCCAATCTCAGAATCAAAAATTCTTTAAGGTCCCCGCATCAACAAAAATGTACACATATGGGGACCAAATGAATGGGGTCTAAATCATGGCACTAAAGACATTGTTCCAACAGAGTCGTGTGTGCAAACAAATTGAAAACATGCCTCTGCTTCATAAACAGAGTGGATGTTGAACAACAGGAATTACAAACTCACAGCCACACTTCCCTAAAGAGAAAAAGTACGGTAATGTAGTGGAACATAAAGGCTACAAATAAAGAATCTGTATCAGGCCCAGATCTAAGTCAACAGTGCCCTCAGAGATGGAAAGAGTTCCTTCCCTACCTTACTACTTTTTTTTAATAATACAGACAAAGGCTGTATCTGCACGTGTGCTAAAGATAAATGTTGTGTAACACAATAAAAATGTTTTTAACTTCAAAGAATCTGCCTGATAATTAAACTTTTTCTTCTTCTGTTGAAAAACCCCAAATCTAAAAAGAATAATTGGAGAAATCTTTCTCTAATGAAATTACCTCTGTATAACGAGCTTTGAACGACTTGAATGCATTTGCGCAATCAAACATGTATTATAGGAAGATGGCCAAACAATTGTATGTCCTAAATTCACTGCTCCCTATTAATCTGTAAACCGGATTGTGTATCACATTGGTACTTGTGCTGTGTTGCTGGATGACCAGCAGGGGGCGTGGGGATGCTGTATCCCTGGATACCACTCGACAAAACGGTGAGCAGGAGCTCAGACCGGCATGTGTTGATCCTCCAGAGAAGACTTCATCAGTGATCAGTGTCAGTGAGTGAGCTGACCAGAGAGCTGCTAGAGCTGGTGGGCTAAGTGACCCCTGACCCCTGCTGAGCTATCTGCCTGCTGCTGATTCCCCACTGCCCACTTCTTCTTCATCACTTAGTCCACACATTCAGCCCCGCCCCCGTACTACATAGCTTATATTTCTTGTCTTTAACTCTATATTTATGTTTATTAACTACACAAGTGTTGTGTTGACCGAACATTACTACTTATGTTGTCATTCAACAGCATATTACGGCAGGGTTTAAAAACGTTTGCCTATTAGCTTGGCCTATATAACTGCAGGGTGCTTAGGCCTATAGGAAGGCCTTATTGTTCTTATTTGTTCAGAATATTTGGATTAATAATTGATTATTTTAAAGGAAATTGAAGTGAAATGGATTTATTGAAAGAACAAGATTTTAATACCGCCCAATGAGCTTTGTCATTGACAAAATAAACAAACGTAAAACCGGAAATGGAGTGTTTAGGCTTCAAAATAAAACAGTGCCTTCTAAAAATGTTTTTTCTAACATTGATGAATACCCTGAGATTCCCCATTCATGAGAGCTTTCTCAATGTTTCCTCTCCTGGCCTTTTTCTGTTTCTTAAAACTGACATCTGAATGTAGGCCTATCCATCCTTTTGCATTTTCTTTTCCATGCCTTAAACATTAATGTTTATATTTTGGACATGTCCTGATCACAGTGAAGTCATATGTTTGCTCATTGGACACCAATGCACATGTCCACCTTTTTTTTTTTTTTTTACTGTCAAAAAAGATATGTAATACTTTTTATAGCCCAATTGTGTTTAAGAGTCTATATTACCTGATATTATTACAGATACATTTTTAAATGAGTGTGATATTCTTGTTTGTACCCAACTGTCTTCTTCTCTGGTGTGGTAAGGCTGGAAAATGAATTTTGTGGTGGAAAGTAGCAAGTAGAAAAAAATGTAGTTAGATCTCATATCTGTAATGAATGAAGCTTGATGATCATTGTTCATGATTATGTAAAAAAAATATTCTTTAACAGCTGTCTTCTTTCCTTAAAGACTCAAATATATTTCAAATAGCAATACAGAACAACATAAAACAAATAAATATTTTACATGGTAACTAAAAGAACTTTGTCTATAGAAAATACGTATTGTTGCAGGACCATGATATTATTAGTGTCATCACCACACTCACACATGGTGATGACATCAGAAATACAAGTAGGCCTATTTTCTGTCAGTACTCCCCATTTATTAGACCCTATCACTTTACAACAAATGTAAAAAGTAATTCCCAACTAATGCATGACTCATAATGATTTTATGCAGGATGTATTTTTTTTAATTTCCTTTGCTGGCCATTTAAAAATAATAACGAGCCATGCATTAGTTATACATCAATTAAATGTCATATTTATTATCCCTAAAGTTAAGTGCTGCCCTTGTTATGATATTATTAGGTCTTATTTAAACACATGTGCTTCTTGTGAAGGAAATAATATCACAATAGCTTGGATAGAGTTTATTCATTCATTTCAATGGCTTCTATGCGTTTTACTTTATTTGAAAGCTCGTACCGGAATAAGACATTGTATGTTGTAGCTGCCTTGACACTGGCTTTCTTTCATTGGTCATTCACAGGAGAAGAAGGTGAATCCAGCGTCTGGGGGACTTCTCTGTCTGTCTGCTGGCAACCTGATCGACTAACGTCACCAACGCTCATAAAGTGGAGAAATACAGGAAATGAACAGAGCTGTCTTTTTCTGCAAAGCCGACCGGTTCAGTTGTTGCAGTCTGGTGGTTGTGATTTTGGATTGAAGCCTATTGTTATCATTTACAAGCTCTCTTATATGTAACATCAACTGCATTATAGTCATCTGATTTATTACTGTGGAGCAAGCCCACCCTGATTTGGACTGAAAACAACGTTGTCTTCACCGCATCTGACCTCTATCCAACCGAAAAAATGACCACAATCGATAAGGAAGGTTGCAGAGAGGCTTACAACGAAGTGAGAGACGATAATACGGACACCATGTGGTGAGTGTGCGGACAAGGGGAGTTATCCATACTCCCTTCAGGGAATGGGACTATTTAATATCGACTCTCATTAAACAAAAGAAAACGAGTCGTACGTGGCATGCTAACCCATGACATCATCTGAATGGTGAAATATTTACTTCGGTTATAAAACAACACTCAGACTAATCTGGGTTTCCATCTAATATCTGTTTAATTGTAATAAATGTTCAGCGTTAACGCCCACTGCGCTGCGCTGCGCTGCGAAGATGAGAAACGGACCTTTCATAAAAGTTAGGATTTTACTCGAATACGCCCAGTTTAGCTAACTCAATATATGCCGAATGACAGATCGATTCCCAAGTAAATATTTAAAGCAACCAGCTGCATTTTACGTCACGGGGAAATTTGCATTTAGCTAGGATAACCTTAAATATCTAGATTTTTAAAAGTAGTTCCACCGTCTTAATCCGTATACGCGCTGGAGCGGCCCATCGGGGGGGTTTTACCAGCTGCCTACACATTCGTGGATTGTTTAACTCTAAATGCACAAAACCCCGATTCCAGAGCGTGTGTTTGGTGTGTTACGCATGCAGCTTACACTGCCCTGTTCTGGCTGATCCGTATTCCGACTGAACAGCGGTCACACACGGTACAGTTATCAGGCCCAGCAGGGCAGAAGTAATTTCCTTTGTCCTGTATTCATAGAGGATAACGTGATAGTAGTGACATTAACACATGGCTTACACACAGCTGCCACCTTGCATGGGCGTCTTAGGCATTTTGTGCATTGCTCCAGTTTGTAAAAAAAAAAAAAAGAAAAAAAAAGAATAACAAAGAAAGGGTCGGATGCGCACATAAGGCTGTGAATCAACAGATCATTGAGACTAAATAATGCATGGACTGGTAATAACTGCACACTCTATTCTGCATCCTCCAGGGCTGCGTTCACATATGAAGGCTTTAAGATCGTGCCTGCGGGACAAGGGACTGAGTATGATGACCTTCAAGAAGATGTGCACAGGTAATTTCTATTCTCAAACACAGCAGTGTAGTGTGTGGCTGAAACTTCTCTTGCTCTACATTATGTGGCATGTGTTTGGCCTGTAACAGCCTATATACCACACAGCTTGACTTGGCAGGACACTAATCTTTTAAGACTCTGTGTGCTGTCACCCGTTGGCCTTAGGCCCTGTAACTACACTCTCGAAGCACTTAACACTGTATGCATTGCATTGCATAACCTGTTCTTCAATATCCTGTGCCTCAATGGAACAGGGCGACGCAGTTAAGGTCAGTCTTTTGTTCATCACTGCAACTTTTATCCCTCAATGTTAATTGTAAGATATGGAAGACTGTTTGAGACACAAGTTATTGTTCTTCAACTAGTTGGTACAGTTTTCAGCTGTCACGCCTTCAATTAATCCGACCACATCTACACGCCTCTGATTTAAAAAGTTCATAGTTGAACAAAGGTTTGAAGAAAGAAGAAAAGAAAAGTCAAGTAGAGACTTTCAGTGACTGATTTTCAGTGAGTGAAAATAAGAAATAGTGCTCTCTGATCTAAGTTCCCCTTGCGCCTGTGTCCTCTGGAGTATAGCATCAGCTCAGATGTTGGGTGTGGCTGAGTCTCTTTAAACCTGGCTGCCTCAGGGCTTTGCTCCGTGTTTCTCTTCCTGATATTACAGAGCTCACATTCCTGTGAAATGTTGAAATAACACATTCATCACTCTGTGCTTTGCAACGCTTCAGCTGGTGTCTCTGCCATTGGTTCCTGCACAGAGATGACACATCAGACATCATCCTGTCTGCAGGCTTGTTTTCCTTATTTAGCAGTGAAGTTGTAACTGTGAGTGTAGGAGGAGCTGACACAGACTGATCATCTAGTGAGGCTTGAGGAGGAGGGCTGCTTTTAAGTGGTAATCTTCAACTTAACCAGGAAGTAAAAATGCACATCCTGGATCTATGCAAAGAGATGAAACTGTACATGAGACGGCATTGTTCCATATATTTTATTTAGTTACACTATACATTTTGTTAACAGAACCTTTACATTTGGTTTTCTACCAAAATATAGCAGCAAAAAAAAACTAATTTAGTCTATTTCATAAATAATTAATTATAGGTCACTAGTACTTGAGTTACAGCCAAATTCAGTCCTAAATATCCCTCTTTTAGAATGTGTTCTTTATGTTTTAAAGTTGAAATCTTTAAGATCTCAGTTTTATTCACTCAGGCTGCATGAATGGGGATGTGAGATAGTTTCTGGTATGTTTTGTCACCTTACTCTAAAGGTGTTTTAAGACCAAGAGCAAGGCAATGCAAGTGCACGCAAAGTCAATGCAAATGTGCCATAAGACAAAACTGTGTGCAGAATGACATGTCAGCTGTGTTACTGTGCACGTTGAATTTTTTTTTAACTTTCTACAAAACTGTGTCCCAAAAGCCAATCAGTCTTTGTCAGACATGTGATATTTTTGTCAATGACATCACTGCGGCGCCATATTGAAGGTTTTGTTACGGTGGTACCCCAACCGAAGTATTCAATCGAGCCACTTAACCGTCAAACTGGAATGAGTTTTAGAATACGTTTGGCTCAGTTAAAGAATCTTGAGAATCTTTTGGATCCCTTGTAACTTTTATGGGTGGTGGGCTCTTGTAAGCATTGCATTCAGGTTTGGGGAATAACAGAACACATGTAATGGGATGATGTCATTATGAAACAGAAAAAAAGGTACTTTACAGTTACAAGAAAACATTTACTCAGATTACAGCATTGAGAAACTCCTGACATCCTGACATAGCTTCAGAAAATGTCCAACCAAAATTCATTCAAACTTTTGCATTTTAAATGTTGTTTGTGTGTTTCTTATCTTGCAGACCAACAGGACAAAGAATACATTTAGACTTTACAAATCTGCATCATGACGTATATATTTGGGGCGTGCGCATTCTTTGGATTCTTTCATGGATTCTTTCATGCTATGAAACCACAGCAAATCGTTCATATCACTGTTCATATTTTATCATAGAGGATGAATCTTTCTCATTTTCATTTGGTGACGCCAAAAGATGTCTATTTATGATTTTAAAACATGTCAACAAATGAACCATAAAAACTTGTTTCTAAGTCCCTTTTCCTCGTGACTGTAAAATTTTTTGGACTCTTCATTCTTTCACAGTATCGCAAAGTGTTTTGGTAGAAGTGAATACAGATCAGAGGGATCAGGTGATGCTTATTAAATGAATACACTTTTCATCAGCCACATCACTACACTAAATCAGCTGATTCATGACAACAAAAGCTTAACAACTGAGGAAACAATCCCCCCAGAATATCCTGTTGCTCCGTTTCCACCAAGAAGTCTGGTTCTGTTCAGTTTGGTACGGTACCCATTTATTGGCATTTCCACCTGTCAGAAGTTGGGAATGGTACCAAAATAAGGGATCCGTACCGTCCTGCCTTTTTGGTACCCTTCTGTCAGGATGCCAAGGGTACTGATCCAACCCTAAAGGGTCCCTTGTTTACTGTATCCCTGTTCTTCTTGAACGTTTAACTACATTAATAGAGGCCTACACTGTGTTGGGCTGCTATAATGTCACACTATTACATGGCTGACGCGGCTATTTTCATATGGCTTACACTCTGCTTACCAAATATGGTTACGGTTGGCTGTGGAAACGCAAGCAAGTTCAGAACTGTACCAAACGGCACCGCTTGGTGGAAAAAGGGGCTTAAGTGTTGCATAGTGGAATGATATGAACACACAGCAGCCTAAACTGAAACCAGGTGCTAACTTTATTTATTTTAGGTGATAAGAAAAATAATAATAAAAAGAATACAAAATGTATTTTTGTGAGGCTGTTTATATTCATGCATGAGTCCTTTGCAGCTAGTGTGTTTCAATATGAAAGACGAACCTCTGAAGATCTATTTCCATCTTCATCTGATATCTCTCACTGCAGCAGGCTGAATACTTTGATTGTTACAGTTGACTCATGTAAAGTTTGTGTGTGTATGTATTATTTTCGAGCTGTGTGGTATCATTTGCATGTGATACTCATCAGGGAAACAGTGGACAAAGATCCGTTGACATATGTGTCCTGCTTCAGATGTCTGCAGGGTAAAAAATAACTGAAGGAGAAAGTATTCAGTCAGTTCAAAACACCATTCATGTATAGAAAAAAATATAAAAAATACTTTACCAATAACCCCATTGAACTCCATATTTTAAGGCCTATTTAAATTGTTGTAAAGTTTTTAAATAAGTTAGAATATAAGAGGGATAGTGAAAATCATGGAAGTTCATCCACACATGTGGATTCATAGTTTTTGGAACCACACAAACTTAAAATCATGTGATAGGTGAATAAACATGTTTGGATTTGGTCATCTCGTTTACCGCTTTTCGCCAAATCCGCCCGACCACTCCGAGGAGACTGCTCTGGTGTCGCAGAGGGACCGAGTGTGTTCTGAGGGAGGGAATACAAGAAGATAATGTGTCATCAGAAACGAAGTCAATTTATACAGAACAACATCTCTCTCAAAGAGTCCTTTTTTTGCTGTCTCATCATTTGTCGTAGTTTCAGTGCAGTTTTCTCTGCAGGGTGGCCGCCTGCAGAGTCAGCATGACTTTAAAGGGAAGACAAACCAGGAAGAATCTGGCAGAGGGAGGAAGTGTGGGGGTGAGGGCGAGGTGCAGGTCGGGGTGTGCTGTCTTTGTTCCTCCCTGGCATCTCAATCAAGGACAATGACAAATAAGACAAAGGAATGTAATTCACCTTGACGTTCACAGAATAATTAACAAGGCGAGGTGTTGAAACTATCGATGCCCTTATTACCACGCTCATAAGACTCCTTACAGTAGTTGCTTCTGTTCATGTGTGGACGCTTTGATCTGACAGCAGTGTCTTTATCAGCTGCTTTAACAGGTACATAAAGATAATACCATGCACTGTAAAAACTGCCAATGCAGTTTTGTAAAGTCAAACAACCTTTTAACAGTTTGACCGTTGACATTAGCTTGTGACCACCTTCAGAGCTTTCAGGATTTATTCTAATAACTAATGTGAAATAGTAAAGTTATTTTTTGTTGTTTAGGGTCTATCTGTATTTTGGGAATAAATGTTTCCGCATAAAAATACTAGATCTACAAAGTCATTCATTGTTAATCAAGGACAGAAGTGATGCAAATGTGTTACTAATAGAGGTGGGGAAAAATTGTTTTATGTAAAAATCGAGATTCTTATCTTCTGAGATTTTTAAATTGATTCATAACTTTCAAAAATCGACTATTTTGGCTAAGCAGTCACTCCCTGCTAAGGGGAGAATACCAATGGGGGCAGCAATCAGTCAGTCTCACAGATGACTGGAGTAGATCCTGATGTAGGCCTATGTACTCATTCAAAAATAGACGTTGAATCCATGGATCCATGAATCCTGAATTGTTTTGAATCAAAAATAGATTATGAATCGAATCATGACCCCAAGAATCCAAATTGAATCGAATCGTGAGACACGCAAAGATTTCCAACCCTAGTTACTATACAATATTTAGTGAAATTGTTATGACAAGGCAATATGTAAACTTTGCGCTCTTGTGACTTTGGTTTCATTCAGAATAGCCTTCCTTGTGTTTATGCTATCTGTATGAGTGTATGACTGTTTTCTGTTTCTGTGTATGCTGTTGCGATAGTGAAGGTGTTAAATAGCTGAAGATAAGTTACTGCACTGCTCAGGAGTAGTCAGATGTTTTAACACATAAAAAGAGTTGTGACCATTGTGCAATATTTTGTTGAGAGCTACTAATTAGGGGTGGATCAATAGTTCACCAAAACACATATTATTGCAATGAATTCGTCTCTTGACATTTTCTTACAAACCTCATCACGAGTGTCAAATATTCTGTATTTAACAAAAAATAAAACTGTTCAAAATAAGGTCCCAGTTCAAAAGTGTAGCGGGATCTGCATTATAATTTTGTCCAAGTCATTGAAGTATTTTTTGGAGCTCTCGAGCCGATCCGAACATTTCCCCAATACCCGGAGAAAATAACTCGATGTAAGATTGAAGTATTTAATAAAAAAAAAAAAAAAAATCTTATGAGGAGTAAAACAATATTTAAAGTTGTCATTTGTCATCACCAATGTGTTCTGACATTGTCTGGCACCTCTGTCTCATTGGCATTTCTCCATGCAGTGTTTTTGTGTTCATTAGAACGGTGGCTTCATTTGAATAAAACCACTTTTTGTCACGTTGATATTCACGTGAATATCAGGTTCCTCATCGTGTGCAGTACTGTCATATCAGTCTCTGGTGGGAACCTTCCAAAAGATGCAGAAGCATCTCTGCTGATGTTATCTCTCACTCTGCAGCTGTCACTTGAAACCCTGTGTTTCAGACCAGGGTGTGGACTTTGAAAGATGTGTGGGTGTTTACCCTCAGGATGCAATGTTTTGAGAGCTTTACTTAAATTCAGGATTACTCTGCCTCTTCGATTGTGACCGTTCTTATTTCATCTGTCTCTGAAGCCAAACAATCATTGCAGGAGGAAATTACAACATACACAACAGATTAAAAGCTCCAATGTCTTATATGGCTGTGTTTAAGTGTGTGTGTGTGTGTGTGTGTGTGTGTGTGTGTGTGTGTGTGTGTGTGATTCTCAACACACAGTCTCAGATTAAGATGGTGTTCATAGTGCTCATCAGGGTTAGTGTGCTCAATAAGAAGTCCATTTCTTTGGTGTCTTCTCTCACGTTCTCTTAGTTCTTTTTGGCAGGGTGTCTGTCAGTCAGTGGTGCATTGCAGCACTAATGCAGAAGAACTGACTTTTGGACAGTGTGTTGTTGATGGAGTCAAATGCTTTTACAGCTCATCCGTCATTCACATAAAGGTTTTGTTCTAGATACTAAACATAATGAGTGTCAGGGATCTCTCTGTCAGAGCAAACTGCATTTCTGTCAGTCACACAGAGGCAGGAACATCTGGAAGACACAGATGAACTCCAATCTGCTCATGTTATTGTTACATAATGACACATACGGCCTGCAGCTAGAGCAGACAACACAGCAGGAGTGTCATTTGTAGAAAAGTGGTGAGGGGAAATAGGAGTTAAATGTCAAACTTTAGGATATGTTTGTCTTAGAAGTAAACTGGAACTGATTCTGGTTAATTTGTGTAATATTCAAAGTTGTGAAACGTAATGTGTAAACTTCCTTGATTCATCATACATCTCCTTTTTACATCTTAAACAAATCCAAACGATGAAACAACTCCAGTTACCTTAACTTCACTTTAAATCTAAATAAAATACTCAAATGTCTACAGTTTAAAAAAAAAAAACCTTTAAAAAAGTAATCCCTGAATAAACAAAGTCCCATGAGCTCTGTTAGTTTGTCCTCTGCAGCTTTCTGTCACTTTGGTGCTTTAAACTGCTGACGGGCTGCTGAGTCCAGACTTCATCGACTGTTGTGATCAAAGGGGCACAGATTTCTGCAGGGGTGGCATCATGAAGTATTTGTTTGCACATTGATAATAGCTGTGTGCACTAATATCTGAATAGTGGGTGCCCACTTGAAAACCCCTCTGTGTCCACATTCCCCACCTAAGTACACTCTTATTAGGTGCTTGCACATAAGGGATTTTCTACAGCTTGTCCTGTGTTTCTGAAATCTGCTTTAAAGCTCCTCCTGTGTGGAACTTCTCATTTGTGTAGACTTTGGTGAGGATGAAGCAGGACCTCTAATCTATCTGCTTATTTGATCTTTTACATTAGTAAGTAGAACTTTCTGAAGAAAAAAATCCTCCCATCCAGCTTTCTTTTAACACATGTAACGTGTTGCAAATCTTTGTCAGTAAAGAAATGTAAACAAAGACTGTTTGAGCGATTGTTCTGATTTCACTGTGTTTATACATTTTAAATCTAACAGTACCTAAAAGAGGTGCATTAAAAACCTTACATCTTTTTATTATAAGCAATCTCTTGTAAAAAAAGCCCAATGTTTGGGTATGCACTTAAGGTCAGGTACAAATAATTAAGATAACCAATCATAATTTAGAACACTGATTGGCATCCTGGGTTGGCCAATTACATGTTGGGAGGGGGGGGGGGTTTCCTCCTTTAAAGGTTTATTTTGAAGCATTTTATTCCTTTATTCTAGAGACAGGACAGTGGATAGAGTCAGAAATCAGGGAGAGAGAGAGAGAGAGATTTGGGAATGACATGCAGGAATAGAGGCACAGGTCAGATTCAAACCCAGGCCGCCCGCTCTGAGGTCCACAGCCTCCGTACATGGGGCGCAGGTACTAACCACTATGTATTGTTTTAAACAGTGGATTATATCTCCAGCTAGCAGCCAGAATGTCATTTTATATTTTTCCATAAAGCCAACCCCTACTTTAAAGTACTTTACATAGGCAAAGAAAAACTACCATTTAAAAACAACAAGTGATAAATAAAGAACTAAAACTTCTCTAATACGTTGGAATCAAATCAAAACCTTAAAACTGAGGCTAATGGAAGATTCCATTGCAGTTCCAACATGTTTATCTGTTTGTTTCCAAATATCAAAAGAAGGTTTAAGTGAACACTGTTAAGATTCAGGGGACAAATCAAAGCATCAGATTGAATGTTTGTCTTTAGATATTATTTACAGTCTGTTGTGTTGTGGATCACCTGAGAGATATCTGCGTGTTCTCTGGGACGTCTGTGACACATAACTACTGCAGGCCTCACAAAACATTTGACTCATTTAGTCTGTTGACCTGAATATTTCCTCAGAGCGTGCGCGCACACGCGAATTGAAAGACTGCTGAACAAAAGCAGAACTTTGTATTTAGTTGAACTTCCTCAGCACTTTTCTTTAGAACTGTCTCTCACACAGCACATAGACACACAACTGAGTTCTTAGACAGTAAATGATACACCAGACACTTTGGCTGTGGTCACAGTGTCTTTTTAATAATGATATTGGTTTTTATGTGATTATATGTGAGTAGAGCAGATCCATATAAATAATCAGTGTATCTCCTTCAGCAGACTCAGGTTGTCAGGAGATGAGATGAGCTGCAGCTATCTTTAGCTCGGCTTATTTCTCCGACATCTTCCAAACATCAGATGACTAAAACCCTTAGTCTCATAATGATCTGACTTGAAACCATAAGAAGGTTCTAGGCTTCACTGTTTTCATGTTGACAGTAGACTCTTGTAAACTATTACATAGACTGTAAATTTCCAGGTGATGTTTTCCGTCTTGGTTGGCATCTACTGGCGACATGTTTCTGACTCTCTGCATCTGCTTATCGTCACTTTGAGATATTTAAACCACTTCAATGTATGAATTCATGTCAAATATCTCCAAAACTTTGGAGGATAATGTAACAATTATTTTTAACATCCTGTCTAGTAACTATGATCAATAGATTACTGAATTAGTTATGGAGGTTGAATGACCATGGGTTGTGAATTGGAGCTGCTGTAATCTTGTTAAAGGTGCAGTCTGTTGCCTTTTATAAAAAAAATCAAACATGAGCATCATTTGACAGGAGGTCAGTTAGTACCTGCCTGGTGTCACAACTGACTAAGACAACAATTTACTGTTACAGTTCATAAGGTTCTGATTGGACAAGGAAATCCATGTACACATTGTTATTATAAAAGCTTACAGATATGGGATTTAAAGGACATATTTGTGGCACCTGCATCATGATACGTATCGTATCGTGAGGTTGTGGGAAATACCCAGCCCTATCTGCTACATGTGCTCAGATAGTGTTGAGAGCTTTTTTCTAGTTTACTACTTAAGAGAGTTTCACTTGAAGCCTTGATTTCTGCATGACATGTTCTGCAAAAGAGAATCCGAGCTCTATAAGTGTCAATCTGTGTACTCAGTCTGTTTATTTCTTCCATCAGATGATTCCCGTCTGTTCGGCTTCGTCCGGATCATGATGGGAGACGCCATGAGCAAACGAGCAAAGTTCACCCTCATCACCTGGATCGGAGAGAACATCGGTGGTCTTCAGCGCGCAAAGATCAGCACTGACAAGGCAAAAGTGAAAGAGATTGTGCAGGTCAGAGTCGGTGTGGACAACATAGCAATTAATGTAATGGGTGTCATCATTAGTGTTGGAGTAGAGCTGTAATGGGCCCATCAGGGAGAAAGTGGGTGGTTACAGAGGCAGCATGGCAACACAATGCTGCATGCAGGGACAAACATCTTTTAAAAAAAAAACAACAAACCAATTCACTCATAGATCACATAAAGAAGAAACATGGTGGGAAAGTGATAACCAACCCTTTAAGAGCCAAACATTATCAACAAATAAAAGATTGACCGAAGAAGATGCAGAATGAAACAAGTGTGAAAAGACCATCATATACAACTTGTATTAATTGTTCTAAACAGCAAATATTATAAGAGAGTGAGAGTCGAAATACTGTTGTCTTTAATAGATTAAAAAAAAAAGTGTGACAGGGAGATCAGACATTGAACGTACATTCATTAAATGGAAACATGATTTCAATTGAATTGCAGCGTTGATATATGACGACTGGATGTCTTAAAAAACAATGTGGTTCAAAAGATGTTCAGACATGATATTGTAGAGAGAAATCAGCCACTTAGATTCTGGCATCTGTTCTTTAAAATCAGAATAAATAGGCTTTGTTCAGACTTTGTCATTCTTTTAGCTGTTCTCAAACAGCCCTTTATTATGTTGAGTTCAAACACATTTCTTATGAGATCCATGCAGCCAGCCTTTGTCCAAAATAGCCATAATAAAAGATGATTTCATGGCCCTCTGAAAGTTGCGCATTATACACAAACACAAGACATCCTCTTCACACCATCATGTGTTTTGTCTGTGCAGAATTTTGCCAAGGAGTTCATGTTGAGCGACCAGAGGGAACTGGACGAAGACTACATTCGTGAGGAGCTGAAGAAGGCGGGAGGAGCCAATTATGATGCTCAGACGGAGTAGAGGAGTGCGACGGTCCACTGGAAGGGTTGAGGGTCTGGTTATGGCAGGGTGGGGTGGGACGGGTTGGGATGAGAAGGGGGTCGGGGAGTGTTGGGGTTGGGCTGCTACCTCTGAGGGAGAGGACGAGGCAGGATGAAGAAGATGTTTGGTGAAAGGGAACGGCACAAACTGAGCACACTCATTTTACTTTCAAAGTGGAACAAGAGCTTAATGTGAACTATTTGTCAATTTAAGAAAAACACAGGAACTCACTAATACTAAGTGGCTCATCACACGCAGATCTCATACCATCACAGCACTGCGTATGCTGCTTTATAAAATGACTTCTTACAAATCTGAAGATGTCATTGGTTAAACAGCTTCTTATTGGGCTCTCAACAATAGCTTTAGAGTTTGATTGTAGATCAGTTTCTGAGTGTATTGGCGTACGTCCTCACAATACACATGCTGTTGGTGCATCACTGACATGAAGACCTGCTTCAGGGCCCCTTTATACCTGATTTGAACAAAGCTTTTGTGTGAGCTCATAACTTGGTTGACAGATCACATCCATCAGTGAAATATTTCTTCTGAGATTTTTCATTTTTGCACACATTAAGAAACTTGATCAATACCACTTTCATGTCTGGAAGGTGAATTTATGCTACTCTCGCAGCCGGTTAGCTTAGCTTAGCTTTAAGAAGCAGTGAAACATCAAGCCTTGCTCTGTCCGGAGAAAACACAATCTGTAACTCTGGACCATGGATACTTGAAAGTTAATCTTATTTGTTTATTTGTATAAAGAGCGAAATGTAAAAATGAAACTGTTGCCAGGCAACCAGCAGACCCTCCAGAAAATCACTGTTCCTGCCATAGTTGTTAACATCACATATTGCAAATATGAGGCCGTCTTGGTCTAATGTAGGTAACCACTCTTTCCATGTCAGAGTCAGGCTAGCTGTTTCCCCTTTCCTTCTCGTCTTAATGCTAATATTAGCTGAACTGCTGCTGGCTGTAGCTTCTTAATGAGCTGACAGATATGAGAGAGGTATTGACCTTTCACTCTTCAACTCATTATTATAAGGCAAATATACTGGATACACATCATACACACACGAATGCATCATCAGAAACAAGTGGATGATTGCTCTTTAAGATCACAAACTGCCTTCTCTCCTCTCCTACCCTCGGTCCTCTCCCCGGTCAGCTCATGGTTGGTTATCCACTGTTCTGTGCATCATCATCTCATACTCATCCTCATCTCAGCTAAGCTGTCCGGCTGTTTCAAATTAAATCACGGCTTCAGCATTGGAGATAAAATGTAATGAGGATGTAAGAAACTGAAGAGTTTCACTCCAAATTTGAAGTGAACAACAACAAGATTGAATCTTTTTAACAATGTTGTAAGAATCAGTTCATTGGCAAGAGCGAATGCTTCTTTTTGAAATGAAACTCTTTACGTGCAGGCATGTGTTTGACACCAGAGCATGCACTCAGTCATGATACACTGTACCTCCAGGAAGAAAAGATCTCCATTTTGTAACAATATCCTTTTTGATGGTTTGTTTGGGTAAGCTTGAGTCATAGTGCTAAGTACACATTAAACCACCTCTTCATCTCCAGCCAGACAGCCGTGTTTGGATTACAGCCTTAAATTAAACCATTGCATCTGACCCTGAGATGGGCTGTAATTCATCCTCCTGTCAATTGACATTTGTGCTTTGTGCTGTGATTTCCTTTTCTCACTAGTGCAAATGTGACTTTTGCACATAGCTCATTGCTTAATGGACCTGAGCTTGTCAAACCCAGGAGGAGCCATCTCGGTTGTAGCATCTCTTTATTTGGTTTCAACCCTCCCCCCCTCCCTGCAAAAACATAGGATTCTTTTTCCCTCGTACCTTTTTAGTTTTTGAGATGAATTTTATGTTATCTGGAGAGTTTTACCTTTTGATTTTATTTGTATGAGCATTGTTATCTTGGACATTGGCAGAAGAGATTTTCAAAAAAAAAAAAAGGAAAAAAGAAAGAAAAACAAAGTGGGCACAAGAACAGTCATGTCAAATAAAAATTGATGTTTTTTCCAAAACCTGCTTGTCAAAGTGTTTCTCTGAAGTTCTGGATGTCATAGAGCTGTGATCTGTCTTCTGATAATATAAAAAATGAAATAGGGTAAGTGAATGAAAATCAAACATTTGGAATCTTAGCCATCATAAAGCTGACCAAAAAGTAATCCAGACTTTATAACACGCACACACATGCACACACAGCATCCTATGGACTGCACTAATGGAGAGATGTCAGAGTGAGGGGGCTGCCCACAGCGAGCGTTCCTCTCCTGAGCTGGGGGATTTAGGTGCCTTGCTCAAGGGTACCTCGGCATTGCTCAGGAAGTGAACTGGCACCTCTCAAGCTACTAGACCAATTTCCAGATTGGTCCACACCAGTGGCGACTCTCCGGTTCCCAACCCAAGTCCCTACAGACTAAGCTACTGGCGCCCCAAAAAGATCAGGCCATTTATCGACAGTATTTCTGAAAATGTATGCAGTTTCACAAAACGTGAAAATAATAGTTATAATAAAACACTTTATTTGTAACACTTTACATTGCAAGTGCTACAGAAAACAACTAGCAAAAAACAAACATACAAACGAGCATAAAACAACAAGTGATGAGATATTGATTCATATCAATACACTCGAGCTAACAGTGACACCCCTTGTCACAACAGATTCAGATTCATGAAGATACAATACACTGTGATACTGCAGAAAGGTGTTATGATGCCATCTTTTAAAAAGGCATTTCAGTTTAACAATCAGTGTGGAGTTAAAGAGTCCTTCCATCTGGAGCATGTTAGCTACTTTATGCAGCTACTAGCATAGCATCGCCCCCATCTCCCACCAAACAGTCAGACGGAGAGGTGCTGGGTTGCATTGTGGGCAGTCTCAGGTTTCCTCTGAGGACTATTCATTTTATACACTTTCTTTGTTTTTAAAATCTCCTTCCTCTTTACCAGTTCAGGATGACGTAATGGGAGTAAATGAGCACTTGTGGATTCAAGGTACACACAGCAAACTGTTTCTGGGAGCTTAAGGGACTCCTTGGGGTTTCCATGGTCACCATTGTAACCCTCAGTATAGCTAGTCTGGGTCTTGGAGGAAGAAGAAACATTCCATATAGTTCCAAGTATTCGGAGCTTCAAACCATGAAAAGCGTCCGTGGGTGCCTTGAAAGGCGCGATATAAATGACATCTATTATTATTATTATTATTATTAACCATCCCTCCTTGTCTCTACTACATACATCACTTCTTCAAAAGAAGTGACATTCCCTTACTTATTAATTAACAGGAGCTGTTCTGTTTGCTGTTTGATACTATCTTCAAAGCTAACATCCTCTTTATAAATCCAATTATGAATGATCCTGAATGAGTGATCAGATTATTTGCACTCCCAAAAAATATTTTCTTTCTCTATTGATTTAGGCTACTGCAATTCCCCTGGATAGGTAAAACATTACTGATTGGTGTTATTATAGAAAAGTGCTTCCTCATAACTGAACGCTCAGTCAGTAAACTCATTACATTTCTTACTCACATCAGGCCAGGTTGTTAGGTCAACATGTTAACAGAGGCCAGGGATGTTAATCCCAGGCAAGAATTGATTTCCAATAAAGAGGAATAATCTGCGTGTTCTCTCTAATGCTGCCTTTTCAACATGACTCATGACTGCTAGTCTGCATCAGGTCAGTCGATGATCACCAGCTGTTCCACATCAGCATGTGTGTGGAGTCTGTGTGTGTGGATTAATGGTTTGTCAGTGAGACAGCCACTGATCTAACATGATTTCTGCAGTGTGTGTGTGTGTGTGTGTGTGTGTGTGTGTGTGTGTGTGTGTGTGTGTGTGTGTGTGTGTGTGGGCGCGTGAGACAGGCTGGCTGGGTGGTAGCAGTGATCTATGAGGACTAATAGCAGGTTGCATAATGACAGAGCTACGGTGGCTTGCTGGGGCTTTTAGGCTGTATTGAAGTAAGTCGAGGCTGTAGTCCAGTGTGTGTGTGTGTGTGTGTGTGTGTGTGTGTGTGTGTGTGTGTGTGTGTGTGTGTGTGTGTGTGTGTGTGTGTGTGTGTGTGTGTGTGTGTGTGTGTGTGTGTGGGTGGATTGAGAGCTAGCACCAGTCCTTTTTATTTTTTTCTAGTCTTCTGGATCGAAAGATAAAGGACAACATCTGCTTCCTTGTGATATCTCACTACGAGCTTGTCACCAATTCAGACAAATAAGAATTGATCACCCAGTAACTCAGCCAGAAAAGGTTTTAACTCCCTGCTTTACTTCCTGCACAAACCCCCAACGGGCCTGACTTTCCATTATGTTGAAGACACTGATTATTACATTGCTTTTCCGAGCTTCAGACAAGTATTGGGGATGTAAAACATCCATGGATCCAAACTTCAAAAGGGAAAAGATCATATTCGATCAAGTGTGTGGGTAGACGTGTCCTGTCAACATTTAAACGTGTCTTATAAAAGTCTTATTAGAAATGTACTTTGGGGCGCAGGTCAAATTTTCACTGCAATACTGCCACATGGCAAATTGGAAGCAAGGCTGAATGCACCTTATCAAGGCCTCCGTATTTAATCCATGTTTATATAGTACCTTCAACTTGTGGTTACATTGTTTGTGAGTTTAATTTTGTTTCTTTATGCTTTCAGGCGTGTTCACACCAGTAGCAAAACTAATATTCAGCTCAACACCGTTACACAGAGATTTGTATTGGACGATGGTTCCTTCACATCCTACACCTTCCCATGTGTTTAATATTGTGTTTGTTGAATGACCAAATATCCACAAATTTGCATGACATTCCTATAGACGGTTTCATTTTGTTCAATTTGATTATTCATACAATATAATAGCATGCTAACTGGCTTCATTTTAATTATGGTAAACTCTACACATGCTTTATATTGCAAAGCCTATTGACTATAGTGTTGAGCTCAAAGCATCAACAGTGCATAATACCTGCCTCACAGAGCTGCTTGCATGCAAACTCTCGGGGACATATAAAGGTTTTCTCTCTGATTCATTTATGAACACCTGTTATTCACAGGCTGCAAAATGGTGCATGATGTACATTTTACAAGATGAAACTCATCTCTGTATTGCTGCTTCTCCATTATCACACAAGCAGCTATGCATGCACTTTACTCCTCAATTGAGCAACAGTATATATTGCTGCAGGTGCATTGGTTGGTTTTTATGACCCCCCCTCCCCTCCAAACATATCCCCTTGTTCCTTTCACTTTACAGTCCTCTCTCTACCCTGCATGTCCTGACAGCTCGACTCAGCGTGGTCCAAGGCAGACAGTGTTATCAGTATTAAAGTTGCCTTTGCACAATCGGTTTGTTTCCGATGGCGCGACCACAGAGGAAGAGAGAAAGACACACAACACACACAACACACACACACAACACACACACACACACACACAGACACACACACAGATGTTAGCCAACAGGACCTGTAGGAGTGTCCAAACAAGGACTGTTAGATCCGTTCCTGCAGAGCGATACCACTCAGATCCTTCCTGCATTCCTCAGACCGCCTCAACACATCAGCATATTTTACAGCCCACAGCAAGTCATGTGCTCTGTCCTAGCATGCATGCATGTATGTGCGTGTGAGTGAGAGAGAGACACACAGAGAGAGAGAGAGACAGAAAGAGAATAGAGAATTGTATTTGAGTCACTTCAAGTCTCCAAATCATTATATGATGATAATATTGTATTACTTCTACAAAAAGGTGGTTCTGATAGACTCTTGACTTTGTGTCAGGGTTTCGCAAATTGAACTGGATACATTTGTAAATCAGGAACAGTAGAGGAAGGATAAAATACAATGCTCTGTTTGAATGTGTGTCCTCTCCAGTTGAGACATCTCTATCTCACTATCCTTTTTTCAAAGACTGAAATATATGATGTCTGTATTCTACTGCATGAATACACAATGTAAGTCATTTTGTGTAGAGTTGGAAATAAAGGCCCTTCAAACCTTTCACTTTCACTCTGCTCCTCCCTCACCAAAGTTTTTCACTGATTCAACATTTGGTTAGTCACAGCTCAGCGGGGTACTCAATCCTAACGAACCAGAGACCTTAGTGTGTGTGTGTGTGTGTGTGTGTGTGTGTGTGTGTGTGTGTGTGTGTGTGTGTGTGTGTGTGTGTGTGTGTGTGTAGGGGGAGTATGATGTTGAAACAGCCCCTGACTCCGTGAATGAGCTCACAATGTCTCCTGGAAAGAGACAGGCAGAGGCCTTGGGTATGTATGTGCTCTGCATGAGTGATTGAGTGTATTTAGGCGGGGGGGGGGGGTCTCTCTCCACTTGATGAATTTATCTACCATAAAAGAGATATCTGCTGGATAATCTTCCACAGCACTTTTACGTCTATTCTGTGGTTAAAGATGTTTTTGAACATGAAGCGCTGATTGCTCTAGCTTGCCTGTTGTCAGATCAAACATTAACCAGAGTACTTTTACTCTATGTTAGCAGAAGATTCCAGATGGAATTACATATTTATACAGGATCAAATTTCAATATAAATATGCTCACTCTGAGTGACATTTCCTCTAGGCTTATCACTGGTTCTTCAGTTCTGTTGACATATTTACACGCTTGGAATAAAGCCAATAAGAGTAGAATTTTTCTTTTTTTCTTCTTTTTTTTGCATCTTGACAAAAAAGCCACCATGTTTAAATATAGTCAAACTTTTGAGTTTAGCACAAGTTATGAGTAGTTAAGAAGGATACATTTTTTTAGATGAGTTGTCCAGATTTAAGCTGTAATGTCAAGATTTCTTTGAATGCTTTTAAATCCAGGCTGAGAGCACTTGAGACGACCTCCTTTACTTGTAACTGTTTTTTATCATTTTAATTGCTAATTGTTTTTTTATCATTTTAATTGCTAATTGTTTTTTATCTGTCTGTATGTTGTGAGTGTGACTGTGTAACTTTTGCTGCCTCTTGGCCAGGACTCTCTTGAAAAAGAGGTTTTTAATCTCAATG